GGGAAATTAATCTTTCTGTGGATTCTTTAAGTATGAGCCACATTAAGTTTTAAAATCTTGTACTGCTACTCTGTACATCCTGCAGGGGTTTTCTTTCCAGTGGCTATTGGGAAAGTTGAGTAGGAAAGCTAAGGGACTGAAACATGTTTGGAGAATCTTGGGTTAAATTGCGCAGTTTAGGAGTTTTGTTGCTTTCAGTCAAATGTGGTGCTATTAGTACAGTGGCAGAATAGTGTAAAGACAAAGGATTTTCAGCACTTGTCCTGTATGAAATACTTGTCCTGGCCACCTTGTTGAGAGGAGAACATTTTACATAGTCATAGAGAAGGGTTACTTTAGATATCTTACCCTTTGGTGCAGTGCTGCATGAAGAGTTGCAGCAGGTGAAGTCAGATCTGGCTGCTGCAGCACACTCTGTGTCTCGGACATCGCGACGCTTGTGACAGTGCAGGGAATCGTATAATGAAGAGCAGTGTTGATCCTCTGTCCTTAACTCATGCCGCTGTGCTTTTTTATTTATTTCACAATTGTGTGAGTTGAGTACAGAGTGTCAGTCCGGCCCTGCATCACCCCACGGCACCTAAATGCTGGTAAGATTTGGGTGAAAGTTTAACTCACCACAACTTCAACAGCAGACGCTGGCTCTACCTATTAAATAAAGTACTGTATGTGGTAGGAAACACCACCAACTGGGAAGGATCTGTTTTCTTGTAGCCGTAGTGTTTCTTTTTCACACCAAACCCGCACTACTGACTATTGACTAAGAAGACCCCAAGAAGCCAAAAGTCACAGAAGAGGCTTCTTTTTGCAAGAATTGTGCTCTGAAGGTACATCAGACAGGGAGATCATATGGGATGTGGTAAAGCTGCAGAGCAAATATGAAGCCCAGAACTTCTCAGGGCAGGTACTGATGAAGTGTCAACAGTTGCCTGGCAGTGGGCAGGAGGAGACCTGCAGCCAAGCAAGCCCTTTCCTCTCCTTCCACTGGAGTGAAGCAAGAAGCTACATCTCCAGGTCTGACAACACTATTAGCTAATTAACATAGTGGTGTAGATGCAGACCTAATGACACAGTTTGCAGTGTCTGTGCTGAAGTACCCTATCAATTTGACACTTCATTCTCCTCTAAGTTTTCTACTTGTGAAGAACTGTTATTCCATTGATCAGCTGATACTATTTGATGCTGTATCATCTCTGGTAGTATAGAAGAAGACAAACCACAGATGCACAGTGTATCCGTGCACATGGATGTGCCCTGTTTAAATTGAGATAGCTCTCCCAAAATCAAAGTCCGAGAAGCTGTATCCTTTGAAAATCCTGCAGGTCATATTGACTGTTGAGGGGGAGGGAGTATAATCTATTTCAATGCATTTTTCTGTTTATTAACATCTCCCAAAAGTATTTTTAAAAGATTTTACAAAAAACTAGTCTGTTCAGTAAAGATAAAACGTTTAGAAACCAAATACTAGATAGATCAAGCAGAATTATACAAGCAGTGAAACGTGCAGAATCAAGGTTATTCGCCTGTTCATTTGATATACTGTCCTGGTTTTTGCTAGGATAGAGTTAATTTTCCTCTTAGTAGCTAGAAAGCACTGTGTTTTGGTTTCAGTGTGGGATTTGTTACCAGAAGAATGTTGATAAAATATGAGGACACCGTGTTTGTGTGGTTTGCAAGTGCAAAGGACTGGGAGGGAGAAAGTGCAGTAGTCAGCAAAACCCAGAGTTGACAGTTGGATATGCCAATAAGATATTCCATATCATATTATGTCACGTTCAGTATATCAACCAGGGCTGACTGGAAAAGGGCAGAGGGGGTGAGATTCTCTCAGGAATCACTCAGGCTCACTTTTCTGGGATTGCAGTTTCAGCTTCAGGGTTCCTTTGTACTCCTCTGGTATCGCTGTCGGCAGGTGGTGACCAATTGTACTCTGCACCACTCATTTATTTATATTGTTGTTATCATTATTATCATTGTTATTATCTTTACTATTTTAATTTTATTTTACTCTAATCATTAAATTCTTCTTATCTCAAACTACAAGTCTCCTCACTTTTACCCCTTCGAGTCTCTCCCTGATTCCCTGGGTGGAGGGAAGGGGAGGGGGTTGTGAGTGGCTGTGTCTTGTTGGGCTGACAGCTAAGTTAAACTATCACAGATACACTAAATGAACTGCTGAGTAAAACATGTGAGGAAACTCATGGCTTATAGTCTTGTTCCTTCACTTGGGTTGCCTCAGTAAGAGTTGCATTTGGAAAAAGCCTAAATACTATAGCAAGCTGTTGGGAGGCAGGGAATTTACTCAGTTGTAACACATTTTTCCATTTATGAATGACTCCCAAAATTCAGAGAGTTTATTACTTTCTTTACTATAAAGGTCTTGAATAAAGGCTTAAGAAAGAGCTGAGACTGACTATTTTGCCAGTGGTATCTTAGCCAAACAACTTTGGGTTGTACATAGGAGGAAAGAAACAAAAAACAACCAACCAAACAAAAAGACCTCTTAGAATTACTAAAATTTCCCAGGAATCAGCCATTGTTGTCCAGATCGTAAAGATACATGTCTCGTCCCTGCCCATCTCCTAATACTTCTTATGTGTGGTGTCCTTTAAAGAGTGTCCTTATACCAAGTTTTTTTGTACTTTCAGGTCACTACATGTATGTGGACTCTGTTTACGTCAAACATTTTCAGGAAGTGGCCCAGCTAATCTCACCAAAGACCACAGCCCCAATGCGTGGGTGCTTATCTTTTTATTACCAACTTAAGCAGGAGAGTAGCATTGTTTTTACTGTTTACTTGAGAGACACAAGTGGCTTTTATGAAGAGATCTGGAAAACAGACAGTGCACTGAGTGTGGACTGGGCGCTAGCAGAAGTTGACTTCAATGCACCATACCCCATGGAGGTAAAGCAATCATTCCTGTTCAGTCCAGCTACAACTTCCAGGTTGCATTGCACATCAGTGCCGACTCGGGCCAAGTCCAGAGCATGGCAGTGGCTGTCCAGTATCTGAAAGATGGTTATAAATATGCTGGTGATCTGTGGTTTCCTTTGTCTGCTGCATAAGGGTCAAGGAGGAATCATGTTCCATACAGGTGCTTGATTTTCAGCAAAGATGAAGTCAGGTGGCGAAGTATTTGAACAGAATAGCTTGGGAGGTTGCAGAGTCCTTCTAATGTGAGATCTTTCAGTTCCTATTAAACAGTCAGCGGTCTCTCAGTCCCATATTTCTGTGACTCGATGACTGTTTTTTGAGGATGCTGAGTATCATAAAATAATGCATGCCTCCCGCTGCAGAAGAAAAATTTAAAGAAATATTCAAGCTCTTTTCTCTACCTCATACAAGCCTGCAATTCAGTCTTTCTGTGCTTTCACAAGATAGAGTCCAAACTTGGTTCCTAATAGTACAGTAGTCCTTAGATGTGAAAGCCAGCTCTCTATGGTTACTATGATTAATTTCAGGAGTATCAGAATGAAAATGAATGTTTTATTCCATAATGTTTACTGAAAAAAAAATTCAAATCTTAGAAGATTGGAATAATCTTTATATATATATGTGTGTGTGTGTATATGTATGTATATGTATATATGTATAAAAAATATATACACACACACACCCACACTCCCCTACACATATATATGTATAAAAGTGTATGTAATATATATGGTATATATACATACACACATATATAATTATATCTTTATATATAGGTAAACTATATATACTTATACATCTATAAATATCTTGTAAGATTGTCATAAACAGTGTATATGTGTTATATATACTTACATGTATACAAATACATAATATATGTTTTGTACATACATGTGTGATTTTTATACATATCTCTCCCTCTCTATATATATAAGTTGGCTTTCATTCTTCTTCCTTTAACTCCACATAAGTTGTTAATTCACCATAAGCCTGCAGATTTTCAGAAGTTTTAGAAGTAAAGCTAATTTTCATCAGATGTTACATAGTCCTTTTATACTCTGCAAAGTCAGTGACCAAGTCATCCATTTGAATTGTCAGACTTCAAATAGTGTGGGAGAGGAGATTAGATCTCGTAGGGTCTCATAATACTGAATGGTAAGTGTATTATTCAATAAATATAAAGTAACATGCAAGGGGAAAAACAGTCCTAGTGCAATAGATGGAAATTAATGATCTCTTAGAGCTTGGCATTACTGTGGTTAGTTTCATGAAAATATCCTCTCAGTTCTTTGGGCATTCATAAAACCATCCAGAATGTTGGAAAATATCTATACCGGAATAAACAGCAAAACAGAAGATGAATGCACAAGGTGCCCTTGTGTTTAGGACAGAACTCCAACCCTCTCAGTTAAAAAAGAATATCCCAGAACTACAAGAGGGAGATGGGAATAATCAAAAGTATGGAGGAGTTACGTGAATGAAATAACAGGTTTCAGCCTGTAAAAAAAAAAGACTGAAGAATCATAGAATCATAGAATGGTTTGGGTTGGAAGGGACCTTAAAAATCATCTAGTTCCAACCCCTGTCATGGGCAGGGACACCTTCCACTAGACAGGTTGCTCAGAGTACAGAGTACCATCCAATATGTTAGAGCTTCATAAAAATCATGAATGACACAGAAAAGATTAACTGTTCCCTTTTTCTCATAATTCACATTGCTGTTCCAAGTTGTTAATTACCAGATAACAGTTTTAAAATAAACCAAAGGGAGGATTTTTTTTCCTACATCACATAACTGTGGAACTTACTTCCACAGTGTACTATGGATACCATTATTCTAATCAGTTCCAAAACTGATTAGACAAATTAATGGGAAAGAAGGACTCCATCCATAATGCAGTGGAACAGAGGAAGAACTAAAAACTTGTCCTTGTCTTCAGTTCTTTCCATAGGTAACCTCTGCTGCAAACAAGACATTGGGCTAGATGGGTCTTTATTCTACTCCAGGAATTTTATGTAATCCAACAGAGTTATTATTTTAGAGATCACCTTACAGAAATCAGATAAAACATTGCCTATAATTTCTTCAGGTGCTTCAAGAGAGTCTTCCTCTTTGTTTCATCCAGCTAAAGGAGATTGCATGGGATTCTTTCACAATTCTCCTAGTTTGCCTCCCATCCCCTGACGGGACATCACAGGTGTTGCTTTCACTGAACAGGATCTCACTCTGGAAACATTTGTCTGTATATCCTTGTTTTGTCCCTAGGATGCCTTGTGATTCAGGCCTTTTCTCAAAGTTTCCTGTAAATCAGAGCACTGATACTTGAGAGAAATTTTAAGACACTTCCTCAAGAGTTATGGACTGCCCTCCACTTAGTTGAGGAAATTATATCCCTTGAGAATTGTTAAGTACAAACTTTGTTTGATTTTTGTGGTAAACAAAACACAGAGATAGCTTTTCTGGTTCTTATCTTAACTACATTTTTTCAAAGGCAGTCTTCCCTGCCAGCTGATGCCAAGGCATGGGTTTCAGTTTCTGAGGACGTTGAGAGAAAACAGTAAAAGTTAATATTGTAATAACAGAGTAATCCACACAGTTTGTTTTTAGCTCTTGATCCAGATAGATTCTAGATACAATAATGATTAGGTAGCTTTGGGGTTATAGTCAATACAGACTGGTGACCCTGAATACTGGCTTTGTATGGTATCGTGACAGTAGCTTCACTGCATCTTTAAAACTGATGCTTCATAAAGCAGCAGAAGAGCTATGTTCCCCTTGATTTTTCCTTTACCTAGTGTAGGGCAAGATCTGGTGCCAGGGTTAGGATCTGATTTATATCCCTAATAAATGATACAGTGTAATTTGCCCCAGCTGGAGTCTGTCTGAGACATCTAATCAGAATTCTGTAGTATAAAGACGTGTACCAAAATTATTGTTATGTATGTGGTAGATGAATAACAAACAATTATCATTTTCAGGTAATATTTGAAGTTGCTTTCAATAGCGCCAAGGGAGGTTACGTTGCCCTTGATGACATTTCTTTCTCTCCAGTTTACTGCAGCAATCAGACAGGTATGAGTTCTTCCTATGATTTGCCTTCCTTGTTTTCCCCCTTTGCTATGCCCCTCTGAACTGTCTGTCAGTACTTGCAATATTTGGTAGAGATGTGCAGGTGCTACCTTCTCAGCTGACTAGTGCTATTGGGCTCCTCTTCCTCCTGGTGACAAAACAGCAGATAAACACTAATGCCATTCATTTGATCCAGAAACCAGTCCTTCATGCTTGCTCTCCAAAGACCTTGCCTCAGGGATCTGCAACTGGAGTGCTGGACTGAATGCTGTATTTGCATCACCCCAGCTTTTGAACAAATTACCACTTGCAGGACTGTCATGGAAAGATGGGGAGATTTCCCTAGATGCGAGGAAGAAAATGTCCTGGGCTTTTAATTATTGCTGATGTAGGGAGTATCTTCTTCCATGCCACACGCCTTGAGGTGTTCTTCAGAACCAAAACGGAAGCCTGGCTTTCTTGTCTTCAGTATTCCAGGAGGTATTATTTATCTGAGAGACTGGCATGTCTATCAGGATTTTATTAGTGTTTCACAGCAGCAGAAGTCAGCTGAGTGCATATGACCTCTGCTGTAGAGGCACTTGGGATTTAAGACTGTCATTTGTGAATGCAGCCTCCTAAGTAGCTGTGTACTGGTTGTTTGGGCTTTATTGTAGCATTAAGTAACAGTCAAAAGTAGATTAGTGGTTTCCCACTGAATCCATCCATTCTTTTGGTCACAAGTTTAAAGTTTTGCCTAATATTTTGAAATGATCAAGGAAAAAAGAGGGTTTTTTACCCTTTTTTAATCTGCTTGGAGTCTATGCTAGCTTCACCTGCACTGATCAAGTATCAATAGGAGATAGATTCCAGATATGTTATTAATCCATTACTCTTGGCTGAGTAAATCTAGTTGCTTCATTAACTCCTCAATGTCTCTTCTGTTTTTGCTTTGTTTTGCAACAAATGAATTATGTTTGTAGTATGCCATGGATTGGAGGTATGTGCTCATCTGTGTTTTCCATTCTAATTTTCAAATGGCTTATATGTGTTGAGGGATCGGATAAATTTTGTAGTATTTTCTGCCCCAGCTCTGATTTAGTTGCACTATCACAGTCCAAGTTCAGATCTACTCTGTCCAGTAAATCTGATAGGTTCAGCTAGAGCTTTGCCTACTAACTCTGCTTTTGAAGTTTTGGGTTGTTTTTTTTCTGTTTGAGAAATGAATGTCAATAATTTGCTTTATGTTTTGTGGAACTACAACAAAGCTGATTAATCCTTCAGACTTACCTCCTATTTCCATCTTGAATTGTTTAGAGTAGAGATGCTAAAGAACAAGAGATCTTCATTCTCCTTGTAGTCAGCCATAGCAGTGTATATAACAGCATTAAGTTTTTTCCTTATTTTTCTGGAAGTTTTAGTCAACAAAGGTATCAGTGCTAGCCAAACAGAGGGAAAACGTACCAGAGTATTAAACTTGATCACTAAAGGATGAGTCCTTAATGGTCCATGGACCTGGTAATGCTCCAACTCTATTTTCTTTAGCTAGAAGGAAGCAGTGAGAGGCCAGGGCTGCCTCCTTTTTCTCTGTAGGCAAAGACACATGGGCAGTGCTTAGATCTGGCTTATTTGTGACCAAAAATACCACAGGCATCTCTCCAACACCAAAATTTTGCTTCTCCTGAAGCTGATTGCCTGTGTCCCTGCCCTTGCCAGGAAGCCTCTCTTAGCCCCTGTGCAGAAGGGTTGTGTGTGCTGCTGTGGAGTGATGCTTAGAGGGTCCTGATTCCTGGCATAGCCAAAAATTGCATGACAGCTTTGCATTGTGCACCTGCTTCCCCCAGCATGTGGTACAAATTGAAATGTTTTACTGAAAAGCACACATTCAGCAGGGGGATTTTTTTGGAGTAAAGCAAATCCTGAACCATGAATTCCACATCACAGGTCAAGAGGGAGGCATCAGCGGGGCTGGGGAGCTTAGCTTAGCTTTGAATCAACTTCACTATAAATGGTGCAGCTTTCTTTGCTGCAGTGCTAAAATGAGTGAGGCATAGCTCCAGAGGTCAGTAGCCCTGAGGTGGTACAGGAACCAAAAGCATTTGACTTACATACTTAAGGCATGCAATGCACACACACTATACATGACTACAAAAAGGATTTTAGAAAGTGCTTTTCAAAAGAATATTAAATGTTGCTATTTAACACAACATTGTTAATGTTGTGTTAAACATTACAGAAAGAAATGTAATTCCCTTGGAAATAAAGCTATCCCCTTGGAAAACTGAAGTGAAAATATGACACCTGTGTGCACACACACGCACACTCACAGTCATTTTGTCCAAGTATCATTTGAAAGAAGGAGGGGGTTGAAAACAAATGCTCTGAACATCTTCATGCATTATGTCCTGAAGGAGGAATCTTTTCTTAATATCTGTAGCTTATTTATATTTATAGGGGCTGTGAAGGAAGTTTCCTGCCCACTCCATCAACACTATAAGAAAATAACACCCACTTGTGATAGAAAAGTGATATTTTGCTATTATTGTGACTTTGCACTATACATGTGTAACATCTTTGCACATGCTCATCTTCTGTAATGCAAAGAAAGATGAAACAGACTATACTTTGTCATCCTTGGGCTTCAATTACCTATGCTTATTATAATGTCCACCTCCTAATGGAACTATGCATCTGTCTTTTAGGAACTCCTTTCAATCCTGCCGAGGCAGGCTGCAATTTTGAGGAAGATCTGTGTAATTTTTACCAGGATCACAAAGATGGCCCAGGATGGAGCAGAGTGAAAGTGAAGCGTAATGTGTATAGAGCAGGAGATCACACTACTGGGTTTGGTAAATCAAAACTCCTTTTCACTAGAAGAGTCAAGCTGGATATAAAGGTTAACCTATTGTATCATTGTTCCCTGCTAAATAACGTAATTGGCACACTGGTTAGATTGCCTCACTGCAACTCCCTGCCACTAAAAATCAGTGTGCACCACTCTGTCCTAGCTGGGACTCTGGCTGTGTCTCCCCATACGTAAAGGGGGAAGGTCACCTATTGAATAGTCATGCAGGGCATAAATCAGAGTATCTTCACTATACTGATCTGTAGGCACTGAAGAGATGATTGCACAAAAATATGCAAGCAACTATAATAGCAGCTTAATGCATTGCTTTTAATATAGAGAAATGGTAGACTCTTAGCTCTTCCAGGCTTAGGATAGTTGGCACTTTTAAGGAAAAACTGTGAAATGTTATGTAGTGAAACCACACAGTGAAAGGCCTGCTAGTAAGTTCTGAAACTCACACATCTCTGTGTAGAGTATTTGTGTTTCTTAATCATATGTGCTGAAGTCTCACCTCATTATATTTGGTGCATGGAATAATAGGCTTTGTGCCCCATCCTTCATTGTTTGGTCTGGGAGTGGTAAACTTGAAACAGCCAGGTTTTCAGTGAAGCCAGTAGGCCAGAGAATTTTTCAGTGTAAATTTGAAAAGTGTTTTTTTCAGGTAACTTAGCCATGTGCCAGTTTAGCTTGAAGTAGCTGAGATCCTTTTAGAAAAAAAAAAATTATTTCCTTTCAAACAGAGTGTGATAATCTATTTCCTGCCAGTAGAAACTGTTTTTATAACCAAAGTCTGATGCAATAATGGAAGCTGCTTTAGTAGCGAATCAGCTGTGTTAATTGCTTATTAGAAATACTCAATAATTGCGCTGTCTTGCAGGTTATTACTTGTTGGCGAACACAAAGTTTACATCACAGCCTGGGTACATTGGACGTCTGTATGGCCCAACCCTGCCAGGAAATTTGCAGTTTTGTCTGCGTTTTTATTATGCCTTATATGGGTTTTTCAAAATGAGTGGTACTCTTGCTGTTTATATCTTTGAAGAGAATCATGTTGTTCAAGAGAAAATCTGGTCCGTCGTGGATTCTCCAAAGGGAGTTTGGACTCAAGCTGATATCTCCTTCAAAAAGCCTATGCCTTGCAAGGTAAGAGCCAACTCTTCAGATATGCTAAATTCTGGATGGATATTTTGCTTGTCTTCTCCTCCCAGGGTTCTTTGTTATCCGGTGGTTAATCCTAAGTGAGCTATACCTGCAAAGTGAAATAGAGTTCCGCAGGCTGTACAGTGGGGAGCAGAGTATTTCTTCGTAGCGTGGCTCCCATTGGGCTTCCTACAAGGAGCGAGACTGTTGCCCTGGTGTCCTCAGCTATAGTCACGGTATTTGTGGAGATTTCACTTGAAGAGCACTAATGAGAGCTGGTTGTGTCTTTGTTTGTCAGCAGCCTCCACATTCACTCGTTTTCATTTGTTTGTTTCTATGTGATTTGCATCACTGTACTCAATTACAGATTTTAATTAATCTAAAAAGTCAGTACTGGTAAGTTCTGGTCAAAATGGGGAGTTGATTCTATTTTCCTAAACTCGACCACTGGGTTAAAATATAAAACCAGAAGTCTGTAATTTAGAGAAATGGACTTTAAGTATTTGCAGTGTCTGGTTGGAGAGGTCACTTTCTTACCTCAGCAAGTTAATAGGATAATATAACATAATATTTCACGTCCTCAGTAAGTCCTCAAGCTGCTGTTATTCCTCACTTCCACTCTTTTTCCGAAGACTAACTTTTACCTAAATTTGTGTATGCCCTACTTTTGCGGTTATCCTGATTTCTGTAATGGGTATTCACTACCTATGAGTCATCTAAGAAAGGCCAGATGGATTACCACCTGATGACACCGAGATAAATCCAGCTCTTTTTGATACTACTATGAACATACGAATGAAAGCTTGTCTTCTAACTCAGGTATTTCTAAATTATAGACAAATATCTTAAGCATTTTCCCCACTACAAAGTATTTTTTGAAATTGCAGTAGTTATTGAGCTTAACTTTTCTTGAAAAAAAAAGTTCTTCAAAGTAAAGATACTGTAAAAGAAAAATTTCACCCAAAAAAAAGCTGCTCAACTGTGTTAAAAGAGAAATTTACTGAGAATTTTGGTCCTAATTGTTGGCTACTGTTTTCTCTCAGATATATGATACCTTAGAAAATTGATGGGATTTTTATGTACATATTTTTTGTGCCTGAAATGTAATAGAATTTATAATTCCCTTTCAAGTTATATGGAAAGAAAAAGAATTTTATTATTGCCCAGTAAGTGCATGATAGGAAACTCTCATAGTACCATCCCAAAATATTTGCGGAAAGATATTTTTCTCTCTTCTTTTTTTTTCTAAATCATGAAAAGGCATTGGTTAAAAGGCAAGCTTATAACATACTTTTGCCATCTCCCATTTATGTATTTATTACTTCTAAAAAGGTTCAGTAGCTTCTGTAGCGTAATATACTGTATGAATAGTGATGACAGCTGAGCATGACTGTTAAAAATGGTTTATAGCCTTGGAGGTGGCAGTTTTTTTAGCATCTGACATTTACATGGAAATTTTTTTCCAATATGAATTTGTGAAGAACTATTTTTATGTTTTCCTAGAAATTACTATATCTAAAACATGTGCGAAGAAGCTTGCCTGGGATGGAAAGCTTTTTTATGACTTGAAGCTTTCATGTCTGTAGTTAGTAGTCTGCCTGTAAGCAGTAACAGATGGGGACAGCAGCACAGAGGACACTAAAGAAGTCAAGGCAATAACCTCACTGCTTCTGAGCCCGAAGGTCTGCAGGAGGGAAGAAACCCTGTGCTCTGCAGCAGGAGGGTTTGTTGGCCTCTGTCAATTCTCAAAAACCTTCAGTGGGTCCTTCAGGTCTTGTGACGGGTAACCCTTCTTTCCCATGGAAACAAGTTGCAAAATGTTTCTGTTGAGAAGGCATTCCTCAAATATCACAAAAAGTGAGATTTATTTGGCTTTAGAGAACTCAGTGTGTGTTCAGTGTATCATAATTGAGACATCCCTTAGCCAAATAACTATGTATTTGCGGGAGGGTGTGAAGTTCTACCTCAGTTTCAGTTTAAACCTGTTTTATCACACTGTCTTTTTTTCCTGGTTTGGAAGATTAAATAACATTTAGAATAGGGATTAACTTGCAGTTTTGCATATGTAGTAGATGCTATTGGTACATAATAAATCATGCACAAGCTATAATGTGGTGAATTTTATGTGACAGTTTTACGGTTTTCATGATGACTGAGTATGTATATACACTATTTGTTTATAACATTTTCCTTAGACAAATAGTACATGGAAGATTATGGGTGAAGTTCTGAAACATGTCAATACGGAAAAGTGTATCAAGATATGTCCATGGCTGAGAAGATAGCATACAAAAGACAAATGATGCCAGAGTTTAAGTGTGTGTCTGCATGCCATAAAACAAGGGTGAAAAACCAGTATAGTTACAGCTTGGATGAAGTTGTGCAGTGAAGCCAGTTCTGGCTTCACCTTGCAATCTCATGCCTGCCCAACTCTTCACCCTTAATACTTTTAAAAGTCCATTCATGTTTTATTTTGTTTGTTTCTTCCCTCTCCAAGCCAACAGAAGGAAATGAAGGAGTCCTGTGTGGCACTGTATAAACCCTTAGGTTAGTTATCTGTAAAAATGTGTCTGCCTAGGACTTAGTGAAATAGCTGACAAGGAACATTCATTTCCATGGCTGTCTTCAATGTAGGCCAGTGACGGAGGTGCATCAGAGCATGTTTTGCTGACAGCAAGGAGTGGTGGGAACCAGCAAATCAGGGATTACAATTCAGGCTCTGGAGGGAGAGACAGTGTAGAGAAACATGAGAGAAACAAGCTCACTGAAGCTTTCCCTCTCTTGTGCTGTTCCCTCCAACCTGCCCTTGTGTCTCTTGCCTCCTCACTGATGCATCTATCCTGCCCCATAGGTAGCAATCCCTTCCCACACTCTCCATCTTACTCCTAGCTTTTCAACTCTGGACAGTCCCATTTTTCCCCCTCTAGTCCTGTCCATGTCCCAGTCTGTTTGCCCTGCTTGTCCTAGTTCTTACAAATTTTAGTTTTTCAAAAACTGATTACTTGACATAAAATACAGTTGTGGCTCCAAGACCAAACCTTGACACATTTCATCCTCCTAGTCCAAAACCTAGGAGTGCCCAAGCTTTTAAAATAATTTTTTAAATAGGGGCAAAAATAAAACCATTTTTTCCTAGCCTTGTTCTTGGAAATGATGGAACAGTCCTGGCTTAAATCTTCCAAAACAAGCCTGAAGCAAGGACCCAGCATGGAAAGTCTGAGCTGAAATCATTGTGTCTTGGCAATGTTATAAGCAAGTGAAAAACAATCTTTTAATGGAGTGAGGTGGTCTCAAAATAAGATAGGGCTACCACCTTTCCTCTAATACCAATGTAGTAGCTGATGCTTATTGTATTGTTTTCTGAGATGCATCACGTCTAGACTTGGATGATAAGAAGTTGTAGGCTTGCACAGTAGTTTGACTGATCAAGTTCTTGGTTACTGGGTGTGACTTGTTGATTGGGTTAGTGCCTGTGGAAACAGTAAACAGTCTCCTGGCAGTTGTTTAATGGCCAGTAAAGTCAGCGAGGCAGTCATTTTCTGCTTTGGCCTGGGAGTCCTGAAGGTCATAATGATTTTGCAGCCAAAAACCAATTGTTCTAAAATACCTCATTACCTATGCATGTCTTTCATCTTTCTTCTACTATGAATACTACTCCCAAGGCTTTTAAAACAATATTAAATTCATCTGATACGTTTTAATTTTGATAAGGTGTTTGTTTGCATCAGGACAATAAAAGTAAAAATGCTTAGATTTTCATCTCTTGTTTTGTGTAATGGTTTTTGCAAGTTCTTTTTGAATTAGCTAACTGCAGTCTGGCACAGATTGTTGGCCTGAGTTCTGTGAGCAGGAAACATGAAGCTGGCCAACAGGCTTTAATATGACACTTTGAAACTGGCACGTTGAAAAGGTTAGATGGGTATGATCCAGCTAAGCAAGTAATAAATGTTTACACACACACACACACACACATATATATAGATATATATGTATATGTGTGTATATATATGTGTACATACTGCAAATACATATGCTATATAATGCTAGTGGGAAGACAGGAAATTTTAAATCCTGATTTCTCAATTTATACTTGATACTCTCTGTTTTATTTAGTGTGAGTATCTATGATGCTGTACACATACAGTATTGTTCTTATACTCTGTAGTGCCCAGGGTATACATGTGAGAAGGAAGAAATTAAAAAATACTCCTAATATTTATTAAAATAAATTAAACCTTTCATGCTTTGTTGTTTTAAATGTTTTAAAGGGCAGCATAAAAATCTGAGTCTGAAATACGTAGATTCTTTTGATCTGATTGAATGTACTGAAACTCATCACCCAGGCCAATATATGACAGGAAAATGTCAGAGCTACGCGAAGGAAAAATTTACATATGGCATATATAACCTGGAGATGCTCACATGCACTGTGGAGCAAGCACCTGCATTTTAATAGTGTATGTGTGTGTGTATATACACCCCCATGAAAAGAGATTTCTTTTATGCAACTTCACAAAAAAGTCCAAATGCCTAGATTAAATTAAGATTTGATTGCAATTGGGTCTACTTATGTCAGTTGCATTAATTCCTGGTAGATTTGGTTTACTGTTCTGAAGCTCTGGTTTTCAGAAGCAAACATCACATATTGTTTATGCATTCATGCAAGTTTTTGCAATGTTACCTAGCGCTGTAGTGCTTGGATACCTCCCACAGAGTTCAAAAACAAGTTCTCAGAAAGATAGCTGGCCACCCTACGCCCATCAGAGTAGCCATGGCCGTGTTTCTTGGGTTTTCATTCTTTCAGTCTACTTTTCTTCCTCTTTGAATTTTTTTTCCCCACTCTC